TGTTGTTTGAACTCATTCGCAGTTCACAAATCATGTAATTTTTTATGGGCATGGGGCTTTAAAATGAGCAATAAAATATCTCTGCTTTAAAGATCACCTGTCATCAGCACTCTTTTCCCCCATCACCCAAAACTGATGTGGTCCTTCTTGTATCTTTTGATTTGAGATGCTCTAATTAAAGATCACCCCTCTATATCCTACAGGTGGTACCTTAATTTCCCATTTAGTTTCCATGGCTTTACTCTCATAAACCTCCCACCCCCACCCCAGTCCATTAGGCCCTGCTCTAAGGATGTGGCCTGGGCCAAATATTTACAGACCCTGTACTTCGTGCCCAGCACAGTTCTCATCACTGAGGACTGATTGGTGGCTGAAGCCAACTTGGCCTCTGTTATCCTCACGGAACACAGAGTAGGGAAATACAAAAATAAACAGGTAAACAAGATAACAGCATCTAGTGATAAGTGATTTGAAGAAAACATAATATGTTTAGGTCTTCATTGAGGATATAGCACACATGTACTGAGATCTAAATGTCAAAAGGGGCCAGCCATATAAGGACCCAAGGAGAGTGTTCCAGGCAGAGGGCACTGCAAATGCAAAGTCCCTGAGGTATAAATGAGAATAATGAAGTGGAGGTTTGAAAGTAATGAGTTCCCAGTAATGAGGTCAGAGAACCAGTAGGGGCCAGTTGGGTAGGGCCTTGTAGGCTACATTAAGGAGTTTGGATTCCATTCCAAGGACAATGGGAAGCCAATAGCAGGTTTTGAGTTGGGTAATGTTAGGATCTGATTTAGTTTTTAAAAAAGATTTTCTGGTAACTGTGATGAGACTGAATTGGAGAGGGATAAGAGTAAAATCAAGGAGACCAGTTACTAGGTAATTACAGTGACCCAGGTGAGAGATAAGATGGGGACCTATGTCATTGATGCAGTCTACCACCAACTGCATACTTTTGGGTCTCTGTCACTTTCTACTTGATATTGCAGTTAATTTCTTGCTAGACTAGGAGATTACTGATGTCAGGTCATCCCAAGAACTAACAACTGTAAGACAGTAACAAACACATGTTGAATCAATCTACAGTGCTAACTTCTGCAAAGAACTTCAGCGTTGACAAAAGCCTTTCCTTATTTTTTAAATTTTTTATTAATTTATTTTGTAGGCTTTACACCCAAAGTGGAGCCCAACATGGAGGTTGAACTCATGACCCCAAGATCAAGACCAGAGGTGATATCAAGAGACAGATGCTTAAGTGACTAAGCCACTTGGGTGCCTTGGCAAAGCCTTTTCTTAATCCATTATTCCATCCCATCCTCTTGTCAAGTATGCAAGGTAGATATGATTAGGTCATAGACTTTACATGTCCCCTTTGAATTAATCCTTGCCATGACCTGATGAGGTAAGGACTATTTGTTTACAGCTGAGAGATAAGCAAACTGAGGTTTAGGGAGGTTAACTTGCCAAAGTCACACAGTTAATGGTGGCATCAGTTTGTACTCAGGCCTCCCTGAAGAGCATGAGATGTGCTTGGTGACTTATGTAAGCCAAAACTTTGCCTTCAAGCCTGATTTGTTTTGTCAGTCCAAATACTCCTAGTAGAAGCCTGGGAGCAGGTTTTACCTTTCTCATTAATTTGGTGGGGCAGGAGGCCAAACAAACAAAAAACTGTTGCTGACATCAATGGTCTGCTTTACTCAGCAATCAAGATGCTGTGTCCCCAACTGATAGAAAATATGTTATGTTCCAGGCACTCAGAAATTGAAGGCTTGTTCTAGGATTTCCATGACTTGGCAGGACAGATTTTGTCCTTTATCAGGAACAAAATGGTAAGGCATAAACAAAGCCCTATTATTAGTATTAGAGAAACAAATATATTCATTAAATTCTCTAAAATAGCTCTCAGTCACAAATCCTAGTATGTTATAGGCATAGAACTGGGATTCAAAGACCTATCACACCCATACACACACACACACATGCTTACACACACACATCCTTCCCAAGAGTGATGAAATTTGTTTACTTTACCAATAAACTGTGTGTTCTTAGAGGGCAGCAGCCACACCCTCTTTATCATTGTAGCATCCAGTCCAGAGTCTGGCTCAGAATAAGCACTCAATAAATATTTGTTGGGTGAATTCCTAAAAATCTGTAGACTAATATAATTAATAAATCTATTAAAAAGATCTTTAGAATGTTCTAAAACTTCACTATCCAATACAGTAGTCACTATCCACATGTGGCAACTGAATACTTGAAATGTGACCAGTGCAAATAGAGATGTGGGGTAGTGTAAAATCCACATCAGATTTTGCAGACTTAATACAAAAAAAAAGAATATTTTGCATGTACTGGCTTAAATACATTACTAAAAATAATTTCACTTGTGTTAAATATGGCTAATAAACTATTTCAAATTACACATGTGGCTCACATTATATTTTGATTGGACAGCACTGCTCTAAAAGAATAAAGTTCAGGGGGAAAAACTGTTCTTAAAGGAGAGGACAAGCCATTAATTAATTACACTTTCCATACTTTTCCCCTTGAACTTATCAAAAAAACCGTAGGTTTCTTCCAAGGCCACGTTCTCCCATGGCAAACAGAGACCATCAGGATTCTATCCAGGTCAGAGGGGCAGAATGGCAGTTCATAGGCTGGAATGTGGCTTGCAATTATAGTTGACATGGTAGTTTTCTTAAAATCTGAGTAAGTTATTACCTTTTTAAAATGGGGAGATTTCATATGCAGCTCCAAATTTGTAGGTGCTCTTTTAAAAATGGTAAGCTCTTGGGGGACAGACAGGCTCAATAATCAGAGCATGTGACTCTAGTTCTCATGGTCATGAGTTCAAGCCCCTACCTAGTTGGGTGTAGAGCTTACCTAAAAAAATAAAATAAAGGTATTACCTATAAAAAGAAATGGCAAGTTCTAGCAATACTGGCCTTACATGGAAACCATCAGCTACAACTAAAAAGCAGAAACCCCCTTAGGACAGGGAATGGACTCTCCAGCTTGCCATATTGTATTCCCTACACTGAGGCAAATTCTTACTGGTGGAGTTAAAAAAAAAAGTAAAACATTTCTTGTAACCATGTCTTAATTCAAAGAAAACAGAAAGGTAGATCAAGAAATGTATGTATATATATGTGTGTGTATATATATATATATGGGTTTTTTTTTAAAGAAGTGAAGAACATTCCCAATATGGCGAGTTGGTTAAGCTGGCCCGCTTCAGCCAGGTCAATTTATCTCATGTCCGTGAGTTCGAAGCCCTCCCTCCCTGCAGTCAGGCTCTCCTCTGGGCTGATGGCTCGGGAGCCTGGAGCCTGTTTCCGCATTCTGTGTCTCCCTCTCTCTGCCCCTCCCCTTGCTCATGTTTGCTCTGCCTCCTCTCTGTCCCAAAATAAATAAAAACGTTGAAAATTAAAAAAAAAAAAAAGAACATTCAATGGCGTTTAATATAACTACAAAGTTTGTCTGTTGAAGGACTATATTTTAAGTCAGAATTTCACAACAACTCTGGAGAGTGTATGATTTTGCAATCCCTCATCTGGTCTGGCTGGATCCAACATTATAGGAGATGTTGAATAATACCAGGTCTCCTTTGAGCTTTGGGTTGATGTCAAGTCACATCTGTTTCCAAATTTACCCTAAAGGTCTAAGAAAAATTCCAAAGTATTATTAGGCAGTTTGTGTAGACCTGGTTAAGACCTACAAGATACAGGTTTGAAAGAAGTAGATAGAGCCCTTCTGTCCCTTAAAGTACTCCTCACAGAACTTCAGCTTTGAAAACACCTCCTGTCCTGTCTTGCCTGATCAACTCTGAGAAGTGTGTAGGCATGGGATTCCACAGTGAGGTAGAGTGACTTCCTAGGCACACAGGTAGTCTGTGGAAAAGCATACACCAGACCCAGACCCCTCTGCCTTCTGGAGGCCTTCTGGAGGGTGAACAGAGGCAGATGGCAGGAGGAAAAAGGTGGAAATGAAAGAGAGAGGCCTAAAGAGAGGTGGCGGTTTGAAGGGGCAAGGAAAGTGAAGAGGAAGTCAGATATTGGAGAGTAGAAATAAGACAGTGGAAAGGGTGAGGGACGGCCTCCAAGGAGAATGAGCTGAGGCGCTATGTCAGTGGCTTTGGGAGAACCTCATTCCACCAATGGCAGAATGGAGCCCAGAAGGGAGGTGGTTTGCCCAAGGACGTCCAGCACTTTGCCAGGTGGGCCCTAGATCCCGAGCTCAAGTATCCCGATCCCAGTCCAGGATCTTCCCTCTGTTCATCACAGGGAAGACAGGCCAGTGGGCCTGAGACAGGTAGCAGAGTCGCCATCTGGTTGGCGATAGCGCCATTAACAAAGACCCAGGTAGCCAAATCCAAACAATCCTAGGAAGCGAATTTGAAGCCACGATTTTCACGTGGCTGAGGCTTTTCCCAACTTCCAGCTCAAGTCGGCTTCAGAAAATACCCAACCACTCTATTCCAGAGACTTTTGGAATCTCCCGAGAGATGTTCAGGAGCTTTTGGAAATGTAAAGGAAGCAATCAGACATCAAACAGCCGATATTTCCGAACGGCACAATCTCCTAAAAAATATTCAGGAATATTGGAGACTGTGGGAAGATGGTTAAGAAGCAGGCGAAATCGGCCAACTGGCGTTCGGTAATTTCCGCAGCTTCTCGAGGAGCACTCGGTACCTCTCGGCTCTTCGCGATCTATTCAGAAGTCTTTGGGTCTCCGTTTGGCAGGTCTGTTCGCCGCCTAAATCGTAAGGGCGACTGGTACCGACAGTCCCTCGGCAATTTCCGGAAGCGTTCGGTATTGGCCCGAGAGTGGCGCCCTCTGACGGCAGGAACTGTCACCACGGGTACCCTCACGCTGCGCCAGTAGGCGCAGGCGCAGTTGCGCGCCGGCGGCCCGTTCAGAGCGGACGTGGTTGCTACTGAGGTCACTTCCGGCGGGTGACGGTGCGGACGGGTCAGAAGCGTAGAGGCGGCGGCAAAATGGCGGCGCCTGAGGAGCGGGATCTAACCCAGGAGCAGACAGAGAAGCTGCTGCAGTTTCAGGTAGCAGCGAGTACTCGGTGCAGCACATGCCGCCACGGGCTGGGGAATGGGCCCCTAGAGGAGCCCAGAAACCTCCTCAGATTGGGCCCGAGATTCTTCTCAGACCAGCGGCGGCCCCCTCCCCCCAGACGCCAACTGCCCTGCTGCTCCCGGCCCCGAACCTCTGTCGGTCCCCGGCCTTCCAGCCAGGGCTGCGGCCCTCTCCTCTCCCTTCAGCGGGTCAGCTTCCCTGGTTTCCCTTAGCGGCACCTGTCCTCAACTATCTTTCCCAGTCCGGCTACCCGTCGGACCTTCTCCGCCCATCGACTCTAGATCTACCGAGATGCTTAATCCCCACCAAGGAGTTGGCCTCGTTTCGGGTCTCTGGAAAACCTACCAGCATCCCATGCTATTTCTGCAAATATTTATTGATGGCCTCTTGGGTGCCTGGTCCTGTACTGGGCGCTCTGGTGGGGGAGGGGGCAGACCTGGCCCCCGTGCCCTAAAGGTGTGGGAGGACATCACGTAAGGAAACAATGCAACATTGTAAGTGTCATCAGTGGCTTCTGACTTGGTTTATTACCCTGGGCTTATTCCTGGACTCCGGTTATTGACTGTGCTTGAGGTGGGTGGTAATTTGCAGAAATCTGCCTCCTTTTAGTGGTTGTCGTGTTAAGAACTTTTGGCACTAAGCACTTGTCTCTGACCTGGAGAATCTGGGTGGGTACCCACCAGGGTGGGTAACCTTGTCTCTTTATTACCATTATAATGGATATCAGTTTCCTTGTTTCTAAAATACTTCTCTTAAAAATGTCTACCCCCTACGGATGTTGTGGAGATCAAATGAGTTTATGGATATATGAAGGGCTTTGTAAGCTGAAATGTTGCTAAATGGTATTGCTTCTATTAATCATTATTTAACTTAGGATAGAATTAAAGTTAGTGGTACACTTATTCCCGAATAGAAAATGGGTTAAACATTCATTAATTCAGCAATATTTACCAAGAACCTTAGTGCTTATGCACAGCTAGTTCAAATACCATTTATTGAGTACTCATGATGTTGTAAGTACTGTGCTAAACACATGCATAGCATGCATGATCTCATTTAAGACAACAACGCTGTGAGATTCATGGTGTTAACAATCCCTGTATCGCAGATGAGCCATGGGGTTTAAGAAGTAACATACTTCAGTTACACAGCCAGTAAGTGGTGGTGTCAGATTTAAAGCCAGATCCCTCTTTCCAAAACCGTTTCTGATCTCTTGTGTGCTGTACCACCTGTGTACAGCCAAGAGTGGTATGCAAATGCTGTGATAGTAAGTCTTTTAAAAAAAAAAAGTTACTACTTTTTTGTAATTTCTTTGATTAGATTTCACTATAATTAATTTTGAAGTGGGTTTTCTTTAAATTGAGCAGTGGGTTGGAAGTGTATAATGGAAAACTATTGTAGAAATAGTTGACATTTGGGGCGCCTGGGTGGCTTGGTCGGTTAAGCGTCCGACTTCGGCTCAGGTCATGATCTCACGGTCTGTGAGTTCTAGCCCCGCGTCCGGCTCTGTGCTGACAGCTCAGAGCCTGGAGTCTGTTTCAGATTCTGTGTCTCCCTCTCTCTCTGCTCCTCCCCTGTTCATGCTCTGTCTCTCTCTGTCTCAAAAATAAATAAACGTTAAAAAAAAAATTAAAAAAAAAGAAATAGTTGACATTTGATTGGAGATTTGACTAAAGAAATTGAGGACAATATAAATTAGAATGAATAAACATCAGACAACCAGCTTCCTCTTCCTAGTAGAGGGCAGGAAGGTAACCATGTAACTTATCCCTTACAACGCTTTAGGGGTAAGCTCCCGGATTAAGTGTTATGAGGTGATTTGAGTTATATGTCATGATGTACTTAGTCTCATAGTGGCAAGACATGAATGTGTGGTAGTATTTCTGAGGTAAAGTACATAGGTACCTCCATTTTGTCTTCATTGGACATTTAAATCAGTAAGAGGTGAGTAGTAGATTAAAGCTACATTAAAATTGCTTTATGAGGGGTCCCTGACTGGCCCAGTCAGTAGAGCCTGCAATTCCTGATCTCAGGGTCATGAGTTCAAGCCCCATGTTGGGTGTAGAACTTACTTAAAAAAAAAGAAAGATTGCTTTATGAAATTGGATTTACTAAGGCAAATGCATTTTGCATTTATGTGTTCCTTAAACAGTTCCTGGATCAGGTTCATCATTCAATTGCCATTAAACATTCTTTGAAACTTAACTAGGTGCCAAGCATTATACTAGGTATTTAACATACCTTAACTTTTTAAAATCTCTTAATAACTTTGTAAGGAATTAACCCCCATTCGTTTTGTAAATGGAAATTTAGAAATTCATACCTGTTACCACCTTTTGTATAACCTATTGGAGGAGCTGTGTGTGTGTGTGTATATATACACATATACACACTCACATATACATATACATATATATATACACATACATGAACAATGAGTATCCTGCAGTATATTAGTGCTCATAGTGCAATATGGTATAAACAAAGTGCTGTGGGAATTAGGGGAAGGTTAGGAACATTGATGGAGGTGGGAGGGAGAGAAGAGAGGAGGATGACTTAGTAGTTAAGCATTTTTTGTATTTATTATGCCTTAGGCATGGTGCGAGATAGTTTATAACTATTGTGCTTAATTCTTGTAAAGTGCCATAGATGATATGGCTGCTCCTCGGTGAGGAAACACATCTATTGAAGTATTTGCTTAACGTTCATTAAGCTATTAAATAGTGGAGATGGAATTAGAAATCTAATTGGTCTGGGTCTGGACTTCAAGGCTGGGCTCTTTCCACTGTACTTTGCTAATTTTGAAGGAGGAATAGAATTTCAACAGGTGGTAGGCAGAAAGATGCTCAAAGCTGAGGAAATGGCTTGAGCAATGCATGAAGATGGAATAGTGTGGAGTGTTGCTGTGATGGATTTAGAAATCTGGAAGTGAAAAAAAAGATTGGAAAGGTGAATTAGAGCCAGATTTTGAAGGCCTTTCAAAGCTGTGCAGAATTAAATTTTAATCTGTATACATAGGGAGCCATCACAGGTTTTTTCAACTAGAGAATGGGCTAATACTAGGTTTCAGGTTTGCTTCACTAACAGTATGGAGCGTGTGCTTGGAATATCCATAGGAGTTAGGACAGAAAAGGGTGGTACTGCTGGGAACTGGTTCTCAGTATGTTGTTTCATTTGATATATTGAAATTAGCAAAAGTAAAATATTTTAGAAATCTTAGGTTTCCTCTATTTCACTTTTTTTGTGACATGTGTTTTGACTGAACTCCCTAGGGTGTATTTATCATCCTTCTCAGTCTGTTTGATGTTTTCTTAGATTTTTCTAGTTATCCTTTTCTCCTGTTTATTTTGGAGCCAATTGACTATGAATAAAGCACACATTTGTTTCAAGCTGTTCCAAATGGAAGAGAATAGGTTTTAAGAAGAGTTAATGCAGGGGCACTTGTGTGGCTTGTTCGGTTAAGCACTTCGGCTCAGGTCATGATCTCATGGTTCGTGAGTTCGAGCCCAGCGTCGGGCTCTGTGCTGACAGCTTGGAGCCTGGAGACTGCTTCAGATTCTGCTCATGCTCTGTGTGTGTGTGTCTCTCTCTCTCTCAAAAATAAAATAAACATTAAATTTTTTTTTT